AGGGGTATGGAACGGCTGTTGTATGAGGAGAGATTAATAAGACTGGGACTTTTCAGGTTGGAAAAGAAACGACTAAGGGGGGATATGATAGAGAGCTATGAAATCATGACTGGTGTAAGGAAGTGTTATTTACTCCTTCTCATAACACACAAACTAGGGGCCACCAAATGAAAATAATAGGCATCAGGTTAAAAACAAACAAAAGGAAGTATTTTTTCACATAACACAGTCAACCTGTGGAACTCCTTGCCAGAGGAAGTTGTGAAGGCCAAGACTATAACAGGGTTCATGAAGTTACCTAGTGTTTTTTTTTTTTTGTAGGATAGGTCCATCAATGGCTATTATCCAGGATGGGCAGGGATGGTGTCCCTAGCCTCTGTTTGCCAGAAACTGGGAATGGGCGACGGGGGATGGATCACTTGATGATTACCTGTTTTGTTCATTCTCTCTGGGGAACCTGGCATTGGCCACTGTTGGCAGACAGGATACTGGGCTAGATGGACCTTTGGTCTGACCCAGTATGGCTGTTCTTATCTACCCCTCAGTTTTTAATGAAAAAAAACATAACCCCAAAGTCTACAGTCAACAGTTAAGCCAAGACTAAGCAATAAAATTCTCAACCTGTCTTATTTTCACACCTAAAGGGCACTGGTAAGCCAAAGACTAGCTGATGTCTGTTAATACTCTGTGACACTCCGTTGTCTGATAGCTGTGTGTGCAATTTCTCCCCTGAGGCTTCTTAAAGCCAATTTTCTTCAGTCTCAAGAACAAAGTACGTTATTTCTGTAGTTTTAAATTCAAAACAGCTCTACATAAATGGTTCAGATTTTCCTAGAAAATCCACCTTTTGGATGAGACAAAGTAAGGAAAACTGTTTCAGCTCAAGAAATTTCCTTTGGAAAGTGGTGAGCAGCTGGAAACAGAGTTGTAACTGACAGCATTTTACTCTCAACCATATTTACTACCAGTGCTATAATAAATAGGTGATTTTTCCACACCTTTTTTTATTAAAATACCAAGTTACAACTACTTTGACAGTAAAAGTTATGAAACTATTTTAAAAGGAAAACGTGAGCATTGGAGTGGGAACTGCATAAAATGAGCACTCTAGATGTGTTGTCATCAGCAATCCAAATTTTATCATTAATAAGAAATGAAGCAAAAATACCGAGTGCATGTGCAACTTACTTTTGATGCTTGCTTAAAAATGGCTTTAAACTGGGTCTACTCCACAGAAATTGGAATAAATATTATGAAAGCTGAAGTCTGTGTTTAGGTTTGACAGAGGAGGGGCCATTAAAACAGTCTAAATCCTGACAGATTTACATAGTGCATTCAGTGACTCTTAAAAAATCCCCCACTGATTGACCTTTGGAGCAACAGTGAGTTAAACCTTCTTACATACTCTTGCATACCTAGTAGTAAACTCATGAAGGGTGATGACACTGCATCACCTCTGCAAGGGTGGACTTTCCCAGGGGCAGAGGAACTTTTGGGGAGACGCATACTGCCTTTCACCAGCTTAGCTGAATTTCACCTTGGTTGTACAACCTTAAAACTAGACTTTTAAAATCTCAGGTATTTAGATAATTTTAAAATTTCTATTTATATGTAACAGTAAGTCCTGTAAATATTTCTACATCATTTACAAGGCCTCTTCTGTGTAAACAATCAGTGAGAGAGGCAGAAGTTAAAGATCCCATGACTAAAACAAAATAACCCTTGCCCCAGCTAACATTGTTAATAAAACCAGTTCTAATGTCCAAGGCTGTATAACCTATTGTTTATACCTACAATAATAGTTTCTCCCTTTACCTACAGTAACTGTGCTGCTATCACTTAAATCAGTATCCGCTGAAAATCAGCACGTGAACTTTCAGCCTAAAATTAAACTCCAGAAAAAATGGCATTTATAATCACAGATTTTTAACTATAGGGGTTAAAAATTCTGACCTGTTTTGATAGCTTTTCATAGTTCGTGTTTCTTTCCTTAGTTTAAATTTCACATTCAGTTTACAGTGCCTTTAGTGCTGTAGCGAATTCTTATGGTGCTATGTGGTGCTCTTGTTTGGATTAGCCATCTCTGGAAAAAGATAGACACTTCTCCAGGTACTTTTTCTAGGGGTGTGATTTTTAATGGTCTTAATTGATGTCAAAGCTTCAGATAAAAATGCATAGTGATATTTAAAAGTTTACAAATGTCTGGTTTACGATCATGTATGCAGAGTGGATAAAATCTATTTTTAAAAAAATTTGATTTTTTGTTTAAATGATTTTTTCTTTTGAAAAATAAACTGTTTTAAAATGAAATTGAATTGAATATAAAATATACGGCCTAAATTTATTGTAATCTCTTAAAATATTTAAATAAAAAAATATGCTGAATCCATGAGCCTCTATCAAAAACTTTGAGTGAATTAAAGACTGCGTTTCTATATAAAGATCTTTTCCTATATAAAGAGAGATTATTCTAACTTTTGAGGTCAAGCTTTGTAAATATGGCATGATAGATCAGCCGAAGTAACTTGTCTTAGGGTACATCTAAACTAGAGAAACTGCCAGCAGCACAGCTGCAGTACTACAACTGAGCCTCTGTAGCGCTGTAGTATAGACACTTACTATAGCAACAGAAGTAGTTCTTAGAGGTGGTAGCTAGGGTTGACAGAAGTCTTCCATTGACCTTGCAATGTTTACACATTGGGGTTTGGGTTGGCTTAACTACGTTGCACAGGGTGTGCAATTTTTGGTAGTCCTGAGCATTGTAGTTAAGCCAACTTAACTTTGTAGTGTAGATGAGCCCTTTAGGAGACTCAAATTTTCAAGAGACTTAGATGAGTAGGAACTTAAACTCTAGTCACTTTCACTTAGGCATATTTGATATTCCTGGGGGAATTCTGCATCACTGTGCATGTGCAGAATTCATGGTCTCCGCAGATTTCTTTGCTTCCCCGCAGAAAAATGACTTCTGATGGGGAAACAAAGGGAAGCCGCAAAAGTGGTCACATAGCCCTCCCTGCAGTGCAGGCAGTTCAGGTCAGGCTCCTGGGGCAGCTGGTAGAGACATAAATCACTGAATGGATGGGAGGGCTGGGCAGTCATGTGTTTGAGAGAAACACTCTGTCCTTTTCTCCTGCTATTGTGACATGCTTGGCATGGAGGGGCAGGGCTTTGGGGTGTTTCTATGGAGAAAAGTGTCCCCCCTCAGGCAGAGCAGAATGTAGCAGCCTGCCTGCTTAGTAAATTGTTCCCATTGTTCTTAGTGAATTCCCGCAGGAGTATAAAACAGGTGTAAAAATGTTAAGGCTTCTTACATTACCAGAGTGGTGTAAAAGACAGTGTGGCCTTATAAATGCTTATGCTGCTTTAGTGATTAGAACTGGTATAAACTTTTGGACTGAATTTTCTATCAAAATGTGCTCCAAGAACTGTTTGCTACTGACCTTTCTGGAGATGGTCAGTAGCCAGTACAAATTGTGAATTTGAGTCCCCAGCCCTCGCTTGCTCTTCAGTTGCCTAAGATGCAACACTGAGCATATGGCTGCAGATATTTGTTGACTAATAACCAGAAGTAAAGGGTCAATACTAGTTACATTACTATTAAACAGAGGGTGTTTGGGAGATTTCCTCCAATGCTCCCCACTCCTATTCTTCATCCATTGTATTGTAGTTTAAATAAATTACCAAAATAATTGAAACTAGCATGATTGTTGCATAGTTTTAACAAATAAAATATGCAGAATTTTAAAATATTGTGCGCATAATTTTTTATTTTTTGGTGCAGAATTCCCCCAGGAGTAATTTAAAAGTTTTCCCAGGCAGACCTGAAATCAGTTTAATTCATTGACTACAGTTAATCCCTCAGTTTTAATAAATCATTTGGTTTTAAATGTGAGACACGTTTCGATAAGAGGAGTTTAGGAATCCAAAACACTTAAGGTTATTTTGTTTAATAAAAAACTATATTGTTTTGTTTTAATTAAATTCCTGTTACTATCCGAATGCAGCTTGACAATCATGAGCAAAAGTTAATTATCTAGTAAATAAGTAATGTATTAACCATTTTCTAACCTACTAAAATGTACAATTGAGAATCTGAAAATAAGCTAAATAATGGCTTAAATAAATGTAAGTAGTTATAGCACTCCCTCCTAACTATAAAAAGATTTACCAAATTTAATGTAAGCCAACATGTTTTAATGGTTAAATCAACAGAGTGCACGTTTTTAGAACATAACTGAAGTAGAAATGGAAAAGTTGATTTAAAATTGATTATTTAAATTGAGGCTTTCCTCTTGGTGACTTAAATCTTAAATCTTTGGCACCAATTGTGTAATTATAGATCTCTAGAATATATGCTATTCTGGGTTTCCTACTAAAAATAAAATAAATTTACCTGGCAGCACATTTTCCATCTTTGAGGCCTATGGAAGTTCTTGCCTTTGCTGTCCTGGAAGGTAGTCCTTCTAGTGGACGTTACCGGGCTCAGGGAAAAGGCCAAGCTTGTTGCTCTGTCCTTTCTCCCTATTTAAGTTTCACCAAGATACAGTATTATTTAGAACATGCCCAGTCTCCTTCCGGAGGACCTGTCAGTTTCGTGTGTGATGTGTGCTGGCCTCTTAATTTAATGGGGACCTTTTTATTCAAGAAAACTGGCAACCTAACCTGTAGACTCTCCGTAAGGATTGGGAGCACCTAAGTTTGTAATAGCCGGATGACTCAGAGCTTGCCAGTTTTTTAGATGATCAAGGCTCATGCTCCCTGAGTGACCAATGTCACAAAATCAATAATTTTACTTATCCTTTTGGTGTGTGTGTAACATTCAGAATGATTACTTAAGGCCAGAATTTTCAAAATCTTAGGACCACAATTGCTGTGATTGCATGCAAATGGCCACTTTTAGTCAATTGTTCAGGTATGTAAATTCATGATATTGTGAGACCAAACCCTGATTCTCCCCTACATCCCCCCTTTTTAGGCTGAAAATAAACTCCGCGACTTACCCATTTACTGATTTTCAACTAGTACTTGCTCGTCTTCCCAATGAAGATTGTTGATTTTATGCTACAGCTGTTTGACTTTATAAGAGCTGAAGATCTCTGTGTAGCTCACAAGGTTGTCTCTTTCCCCAGTAGAAGTTGGTCCAATAAAAGATATTGCCTCACCCACCATGTCTTTCTAATATCCTGGAACCAACACCACTACACCAATGCTGCAAATGAGTTTATAACAGGTTATTTGATGAAAACTTAAAATTCTTGATTCCTAGGACTGCGCCGTACCAAAGTGAGTTCTCATGGATGTCTGATATGGTGGGTGGACAAACTGGACTGAGACTGACAAGCCCATCTTAACTTTGATCTCTATGGCCCTTCCCATCCCCTCTCTGCCCCTGTTGAATGTGTAATCATTGGCTCACACATTCAGTTTAAAATTACACGCTTTGCACCTTGCACCTTGAACTTAAAAGTGCAGTTGTGGACTTTGAATGTACTGTCCCTAGATTACATATTCAAATATCACACATTTAATTTTCCTAACTTTGCATCAGTTTTTGCATACATTCTCTCTTACTCTAAGCAGAAGAAACACAGTATCCACAGCAGTCTAAATGTTGCATATTTATTATTTAAGGTGCACATACAATGCTTAATTTGTGCCAAGGCTGAGCCCCGGCACCTCTGGGCTTGGCAGTTCGTAGCCCCAGCATCTCTGGCCTTGTTGCATCAGTTATGAATATAAAAAAAATTGTTTGAGCCCCAGCACCTCTTTCATTACAAATTAAGCACTGTGCAAATTTAACACAGTAATTAGAAGTATTGGTAGTGACTCCATAGTTAGTGTTGTTCTTGAGGTTTGTATTTACAGTGAACTAAAATCCATCTTTCACATTTGAGCAGTTGATTTTAGTCATCAAATTTCATGCGAACTCTTCAGGAAGCAAATAGATTTTTTGTAACTTTTTTGTCAAAGGTTACAACAAAGATTTAGCACAGGGAACACTTAAAAATGAGCCCTTATTGATATTTGGACCTGAGTGTTTTTTTTTTTAAATTTGGCCCCAATTCTTGTTTTTTTTGTTTGTTTTTGTTTTAGTTCTCTAGGTAAAGAACCACAATAGCTCCAAACTTCTCTAACAAGCTGCTTTTAAAATTTTTAAATAAAACAAAATGAATCCTGTTATAACCTAACTAGACTCCCTGAAATGTAGCCAGTGGAATTGTCAAGTTCTTCTAGTTCAGGGGTGGGCACATCTGAGGGCCACATCTGGGTGGGGAAATTGCATGCAGGGCCATGAATGTAGGTTGGGGTGTGGGAGCGGGTGCGGTGAGCAGGAAGGGGCTCAGGGAAGGGGGTTGGGGTGCAGGAGGGGTACCAGGTGTACAAGGGGGCTCAGGGCAGGGGATTGGGGATACAAGAGGGGGTGCAGAGTGTTGGAGGGGGCTCAGGGCAGGGGGTTAGAGTGCAGGAGGGGTGCAGCAGGGGGCTCAGGCCAAGGGATTGGGTGCAGGAGGGGTGCATGGTGCAGCAGAGTGTTGGGGGCTTAGAGCAGGGATGCAGGAGGGGTGTGGCAGGGGGTTGTGGTGCAGGACAGGTTTGGGGTGCGGGCTCCACCCCGGCACTGCTTACCTGGAGTGGCTCCGGGGTGGCAGCGGCGTGCAGCAGGGCTAAGACAGGCTCCCGGACAGCACCACATGCCTGCGGCCTCTGGGGGAGGAGGGGCAGAGGGCTCCGCATGCTGCTGTCCCCTGCAGTGCCCATTGGCCGAAGTTCCCTGTTCCTGTGCCTGGAGGCGAGAGCAGCGCACGGAGCCCTCTACTCCACCCCACCCCCAGAGGCTGCAGGGACATGGTCCTGGCCGCTTCCAGCAGCGGCGCGGGCCCGCGGTGCCACGGGGGTGGCAATCCCGCAGGTCAGATCCAAAGTCCTGATGGGCCGGATCCAGCCTGCAGGCTGTAGTTTGCCCACCCCTGTTCTTCTACTTTCCCATTTTTTACACTTCCCAGTGTTTCTTCTTGATTTGTTAACTGTGTTGCTTTAACTCTTACCACTCCTGATCTTGGGAAGTTGGGGAGGCAGTGGTGGGGGAGGGAGAAGAGGCCAAAGCATGGGAGGAGACTCCCCAGGGCATTGCTAATTTAAATTCTTGGCATACCCCAAGCAGCGCACTATGAAAATATTTTTCTTTGTACTGAAGCAGTGGCATATGCAGGACTATCCATGGTGGTCCTACCATAGTTCCCTCAGTACTTCAGGTAGCAATAGCATGGGGGTTGAAGAGATGGCATTGGTGGGGTTGAGTCAGTGGTGATAGGATGGGTGAGTGGATATTTTGGGAAGACACCCTGGTCTTCCGAGTGGGAGTTATATAGGAGTCAAGATAAAGGCAAGAAGATCACTATTGGATGTAGTATGGAAGTATTGATTTAACTAGTGACTTCCGTAGATTTTTAGTGTCTCGATTGATTGAAAATGCTCTTGAGCAGCCTTAATGTAAATTAGTTTTCTTTGTGTGGTATGTTTAAGGGGGTGTATTAGTTACCATAGCAGCTAACTTTAAATTTCCTACCTCTCCTGTTCACTTAAATTCTCAACCCTACATTGCATTGAACAGTCATTGTTAAATATTTATTATTTATATTAACTTGCCTCTGCTATTTGAAGCCATGTCAGATAATCAACTGGTAAGATTTATACATTTCTTTTCCCTTGTCTAAAACATGCACTGATAAATTTCATTGCATTATTTGACAAAACTATAGGCTACAGATTTACTGTCTCTCCAATAGGTCTGCAATAGAGGACTTTAAATGGGATGCATGGTATTTATGGGTCACCAAGAGGATACTTCAGGTCTTGTGTCTCACTTAATTTAAAGGTGTTCTGTCGATAATGCTTGAACGTGCAAATCTTGTGAAATTGTAAAAAACTTTGCTTGGTACACTGAAGGTCCATCCGATATTTGTTTGTCTGGGGCACTTAGCATTTTCCAACTGTTACGTTCCACTACCCCTTTTTCAGACCATTATTACATTTTGTATTTCCTGCTTTCAAACCACCACTTTCAAATTTAAATACTAAAAATGTAAACCATTAAAGAAATTGTTAGGTTAACTATTTAGAATTGCCATTTATGTTCTTGGTTACTGAACTCGGTTTTTAGCTTTCCAAAGCACATTGTAGTATCTTGCACTACTGTGGTTCCTGTGCAGCTATCTAATGTTCTAAGTAAACACAATCAGTACAGTTCACTTTTTTAAGGGGGTGACGAAGATGTTTGCTAGTTTACTCTGCCATGTTTTTCTGGTATGTGTATCTTATGAATCCCATATATGGAGCATTGCACTACATTTTTTTTTCTTTACTTCATTTACTTTCAAAGTCCCATGCAGAAACTTCATAAAGTCTGCTCAAATTTTACACTTGACCGAAATTATGGAAATACTATTTTCACGTACCATTTGGATTAATATTTGGCCTTTGAAACCCTTCTCATTATATGGCATAATTGATAGGGCACCAACAGCATGCACAAAGAAATTCCAGCTCCCTGGATCAAAGGGTTTAGTTAGTCCGAGAAGGTCATGTGCTAAGTGGAAAAGCAATGTAGTGGTGTCAGTTTTTCTATAAGGGAATAAAATGTTTGTATTTCAAATGAGGCAAAACGATAGCATAACATTGAAGAAGTGCTAATGTTAATCCAAGTAAACCAAGTGAAATATGATTGTTGTGAAATATCAAAATATTTATTGAGAATTATGCTATGCGAAGATTTAACCACAGAAGTTTTCTTCGAAATGCATATTTAGTGAAGTTTAAAGTTAGAGGGAAAAAATATGTGAGATTATATGTTTTACTTCATTCACCTTGTATGTCTAATATCCTGGGACCGACACGGCTACAAGAACATTGCATTTGTATTTCTGAACTAACAAGTAATTTTAGTGTTCTAATAAAAACAACAACAACAAAAAACAACTCTTGAGCAAATATAAACTATTCAGACACTTTTGTCACTCCAAATTATGGAAAAACTAGGAGTCCTTGTGGCACTTTAGAGACTGTCATTAGTTTTTACTGATACAGACTAACACGGCTACCCCTCTGAAACCAAATTATGGAAGTTATAATATTGGCTATTGGTTACATCACTCGCCTTAAGTATTTCCTGCTGTGCAGGGTCTGTTGTTTTTAGATTACCAGTGATTTTACCTACACAGTGTAGGAGCAGGGACGGGATTGTGTGGAATGAACTAAACTTTCAGGAGATTGAATCCAGGTCACTTGGCTAGCATCCAGATACTTGACAATAATAGGGAAAGCAGCCAGTGAACCTTTTTCATTCTTTCTGTTCCAGTGAACTGAAACTTAGGGGCAGGGAGAAATTTTAATAAATGGAATTGCTTTTTGTATAAGAATTTTAAGTTGTGTGTGTGTGGAGAGAGAACTATTTTTGATTAACATCTTGTTTTAAAACAGCTGGATTCTCATTCTTGCCTCCTCCAATACACTATTAATTTTGCTTGATTTTTTTGAGATACTTACAATAGCTTTTCTTTGGTGATTGTAAAGTGAAGTGACTTTAAATCAAGATAGTTTATTTTGTTAATGTTAGAATAATTACCTCACTGACAGAGAAAATTGTTGCTGGTACAGCATGCTGAGAACTTTTTACTAGACATTTTGCACCTGGTCAGCCTAAAACTTTCTTTTCTGATAACCATGCTATGCAGAACAGAGTAGTTCACACTATACTAATTACCAACATATGCTATCTGTCTTTTTACAGAAGATGCGGATTACAGTGCCTTTGGTACGGATACTATGACAAGGAAGAAAAATGTCTTATCAAATGTGTTGCGTCCGGATAACCACAAAAAGAAACCACATATTGTCATTAGCATGCCACGAGACTTCAGACCGGTGTCGTCTATTATTGATGTGGACATTCTCCCAGAAACTCATCGCAGGGTGCGACTTTACAAATATGGAACTGACAAACCACTTGGATTCTATATACGGGATGGCTCTAGTGTCAGAGTAACACCACATGGATTGGAGAAAGTACCAGGGATTTTCATATCCAGACTTGTTCCTGGAGGCCTGGCTCAAAGCACAGGCTTACTGGCCGTTAATGATGAAGTACTGGAGGTAAATGGAATAGAAGTCTCAGGGAAGAGTCTTGATCAAGTTACAGACATGATGATTGCAAATAGCCGTAACCTGATCATTACAGTGAGACCAGCAAATCAAAGAAATAATGTTGTTAGGAACAGTAGGACTTCTGGGAGCTCAGGTCAGTCTACTGATACTAGTCTTCCAGGTTACACACCACACACTGTGCAGAACTTCCATCCAGAAGAAGACGACAGTGACGAAGATGACATCATTATTGAAGACAATGGTGA